GTACTGAATGTATTGTCAAAGGGTTCATGTGCACTTTAATCAATTGGCCATCAAATGCAGTTAATAAACCTCTCCAGCACTACTTCCACTAACATTTTGCGAAAAGCCGGTGAGGAGTTTTCCTACCTAACACGAAAATCGATGAATCAAAGTCTCCTTACCAGTAGGCGTGAGGGTTGGGCAGTTTTGAATCTCACTGTCAAGAACAACATTATCAGGACAAACGTTAGCAAAGGGTGGCTCGGGAAGGGCGTACGTCTGTACACGTTTTCTTGCATAATCAGGACACCTATAGTCGAAACTGCAGTTGGATATCGAGATCCAAGTTTTGGCTAGAACTAGAATAGTATAATAACTATATTATAATAGTGGAAAGATAAATATATTTTAGATTAGATTATAAGTTTGAAACATAAATTCTAGAGAATCATTTATTCATATCTATTTGTATGTCTTATATGTTTTTAATGAGACAAATAAAGACCAATTATTAGAGGATGTATTGATTGCCTATTAAAATGCGTGTTCTTCCTATCTGTTATCGTGTAACCTGCTCGCCTCTCTCCTTCTCTGTCTCCTATTTGGTTTTGTTTGTTTAATTACCTTACTGGCTAAGCCCCTTGATCCCAATAGATACTTTTCAAGTTCCAAATTACCGCTGTGTTCCTTGATTAAAGACTCATTTACTCAGGCTTAGCCTCAATTTTGTGTAGAATATTCACGTGTTCCAGTCAAGGTCCGTCAAGTTTCAAAGTGTTTGTATTGTCGGAGTTGTGCATTCTCTACTTTACCGTTAGTATTTGTGCATATTTAAACATTGATGCGAGGCTAAGCCTAAGTAAATGAGTCTGCAATCAAGGAACACAGCGGTAATTTGGAACTCGAAAAGGGTCTATTCCATTGTCTGTCTGCTTCTCTCCCCCTTATTCTTTTCCTCCCTTTCTGTAAGCCTATCGTTGCCCTTCCTGCCTACCTCTCTATTCTTGCCTCCATATATCTTTATACTTTCTTACTTGTGCTGGCATTTTCTTCTTCTCCTTTTTTTTCTTAAAAGACCTTAGAACTATCCCCAACCTGACTAAAGTCGATAAGCACAATAATGTTATTTACTCACCTTTTTCACAGTTGTAGCCGTAATATGGACATTGACAGTGACACGAGTATGTGTTGGTCTTGTAGTTGGGAACACACGTGCCATTGTTCTCACAAGGCTGGTCGTGACATTTAGTCTGTGAAGGTAAGGAATACTGTTACGGCAAGAGAAAATGAACTAAGAGAAGAAATCACCCCTATATAGCCTTGTAACCATCATGTGCACATTTTGATGCTATTTTTAAACCATTTGTTTTTCTGCACGCGCATTTACTGCGCGCGCTCTACGCTGTTTGCTTACGTTTTTGGGGTTTTCCGTTATTTCGACTCTGCCCTGAATATGAATGTGCACATCGAAAGCTTGGCAAATACGACAGGAAATTAAAGTAGTAATTTGTTCAACTTTCTGGAGTATTTTTACCTTTATTTTCCAAAGCTTCCGACCTACATCGTCATCTTGAGGGCAGATTTGAACATTTAAACATAAGAAAAGTACAAGAAAACATTAGCAAACAGCGTGGAGCGCGCGCTTACTATGCGCGTGCAGAAAATCAAACGATGAAATAAATGATATCATTGAATGATATTTTTAGAATAGATTCTAAAAATAGCATCAAAGTGTGCACATGATGGGGTATGGGGATTCCTTCTCTTAGTTCATATTTTCTTGGTTACGGAGTATTGTTATAGGTATATTTGCGCCACATGAGTCTCTTTTAAAGAGTAGTGAGTTATAATCTTTAAGGTGGCTGCCTACTTTTGAACGTTCGATTTGAGCCCACGATGTGCGCGCGCTCAAAAACCGCTGAAAAATCTACAAGAT